CATATTTTACTTCTTTCTTTTCTCTTATTTGAAGTTATTTATCAGTTCTCATTAATATAACTTGTATATTATCAGTTTTATATTAAAACTTTTCTGAGTTTATTTCATTTTGTTGTTTTTTAATAATTATTACGTTTATTCTTTTTCTCAGTTTGTTAGTTACTCTTATTCATTTTGTCATTTTTATTCTTGTTTTCATTCACTGTATTACACTAAATTCATATTATTTCATCACTTCTTAATGTGAAAGTATTTAATTTTATTAACTTTCACATAGCATTATTAAATTATTCAACTATTTAATTATTTGCTTTCATTTTAGGCTTTTATTCATTGTTTTAATATCTCCTTTTATTCATTATATATTTCTTTGTCTTAACTATCCATTTTATACTGATTTTTATCAATTTTCTTGTAGCTTAGTCATTAATATAATCATCAGTTATTATACTGAAAACACCTTGATTATCCATTCATTGTGTTGTTGAATTAATTGGATATGTTTGTTTTTGTTGTTTTTCTTTCTTGTTTATTGTGGCTATTATTTTATATTTTAAATCTACTGTTATTTTACTTTTATAATAGCCATTAGTCATTGTTAAGTACTACTCTTTGTTAACTCAATGAAAAAATATATTTTTATTTAACACTATGTTTTATTCATTTTATCTTATTCTATTATAAATGTCATTTAGTAATGTATCAAATTGACAAACATAAAGTCAATGACAATGCTCAGAATAAGCTAATAGACACAATTCATTATAAAAAACATCTAAGAAAATGAAGAAATAATAGAAAAAAGAAAGAAAATAGTCAATTTTAAATAGTGTTTTGATAAAAAAGATGAAAAAAGTTATTAAAGAAAAGAATAAAACAATGAATTAAGAATGAATAAAATGTTTGACTTTTACTGTAAACCGTTCGTTTTTCTTAGTTGTAGGGAGAGAGGGTTGAAGAAAAGTTTGAACATCTAATGGATATTCAAACTTGTCAATCATGATTATGTCTCGTGGTTCTCCTAGAATAGCTTTCATACTTTTAATTGAACGTTGTGGCTTTCTCCCAAAGATACAATAAACAAACTCCTTTTCACCCCCAGTCAAGACTGCCTTATTCTGTTCCATCCATGAACGAATTGGACCTATGACATACCTTCCTGATGTTTCACCAACAATATAAATAGGTCCATAAGGAGTAAAGTCTATTGCATCATATATAATAGGGATTTTACTAAATTTCTTAACTCCATCACGATTTAATTCAGATCTATAATAGAGTTTTGGAGTCTTAACCTGAAAGAGTTAAAAGCTTATGTGTGTTTAAGAAAAAGATAAAAAAATAAAAGAAACGAAACTTCATAAATATCACCATGTACAGCTAATGCAAGTTTATGAGCAACTTCACCAGAATGAGACTTAATATTACTATAATAAATGACTAAAGGTTTTGTCATTAAGATATAAACTTTCTATCATACTTTCAAATAAATAACAAAAACGTTTCATCTCAAAAAATCATCTAAAACCCCAAAAATGAAACTATAATCCAATGGTAAATAAATCATAAAATAATAAAATAATAATGTTTGTAATAGAAATGACATTCAACCCAGACTGATAAATGAGAGGATTATTATATTTATTAACATTTCTTCTTTTAATTAACAATGTAAAAGGTGAAGACCAAACAGATTATTATGAGCCAGGAGGATTATTTTGGGGACTTTCAGCAAGTATGGTGTTCATAGTAGTAATTGTACTATTTGCTGGATTAATAATTGATGCAATCAAAATGAAATATTTTGATGTGTGGAAAGGAATTTAAAATCTAATTTAAATAATTTATTCATTATGACTTAATTAATTCTTAATTAAAAAAAAAAAATACAAAAGAAAAGAAAATTCTCAAAGAATTATTAATTATTCATCAAAATGTTCTCTTGCAACCATTCCTAATGAAATTTCTTTATCACCATTAATAAATAAATCAAGTTGTTTTTGATCTTGTAATAATGTTTGGATTTGACATTGTTCATTTAAATTTCTATTACGAACAAATTCTTGGAATTTTTGTTCAAGTTGATAAATTATAGGTGTGTTAATCCATAAATATTGATGTAAATATACATAAAGTAAAGATGATGAATAAATGTCTTCAATTTTTAAGAAATAATTAAATATTCCAATAATGTCTTTTTGACTTTCACTTTTAAGACAATATATCATAAAATAATGTTCCCAAGTTGTGTTGTAAATAACTTCCATATATCCTTCAAGTTTATTCTTTTCATTTATTTTTTCAAATAAATATTTTACTGTTTCTAAGAATATTTCTGTTGATGAATTAAATCTTCCATGGAATCTACAAATACTATTCATTGCTTTTCCAAATTCATTTCTTCCTATTAAATATCCAATGTATAAATGGAAACTTTCTATATTATCAATTAATGTTACTAATGTATCAATATATTTATTTGGTTTTGTAATTATTACTTTTTCATAATATCTAAATACAACTGGAATAATATCTGTAATAATACTTTCTCTTAATTCTACATTCACTCGCATCGTATCATAAAAATATTTATATTCTTCTGAATCAAATGCAACTAATAATCTTGCTATATTTGGTATTTCTGGTAATTCACAAAACGCTGGAATATCTTCAATATATTCATTAAGTCCATGAATAATAAATAAATAATTTAAATATAATTGATATGATGGATATATTCTATTATTCATTAAATGTATTATCATTAAATCAATTCCAACTGGATAAATACTTCCTTCCATAAATAAATTAATCATTGGTGTGATTAATGTACCATTCACTTTGATTATTTCTTTTTGTCTTAATTCTCCAACATATTGAATAATTGGTAAATAATATCGAATCCCATATAAATTTTGTTCAATTCTATCTAAAATATTCGTCTCTTCATTAATTTTTAAAAATATCGTTTTAACAATTGCAAGTTTCTCTTCTACTTCTTGTAAAAATATTCTATCTATATTCTCATCAGACATTATTCTTTCTTTAACTTCTTTATTAATATCTTCATAATATATTCTAAAGAAATCTAATATCACTTGATTAACTCTATTCTCCTCACTTCTTTCTTCTAATTCTTCTATTAATATTCCGATATTTCCTGTTCCTATTAATATTTGTAACGCCTCAGTAATAAATGTAGCACTTTCTTTATATTCTGGTAATGAATATCCCATATTAATACTATCAGTATAATATGAAATACATTCTTCATCTCCTCTTCCAAATATTAAACATGGTAATAATCTAATACATTGAACAATTCTTTCAAATCCCGGTGATGTACAAATAACACTACTCCATTCTTTTTTTCCCATTATTTCAATATAACTTGGATAATATATATCTTTTCCTTTTCCTTTATATTTCTCATATCCTTCAAATTCTTCTTCATATTCTCTTTCTTCTACACATCCAATTGGTTCCGTAACTTCTATTCCTGTCTTATTATTACTTAGATTTCTTCCTTCTGAATCAAAGATACTTTGCATCACTTGTTTCTTTCCTTTATCATAAACTATTATTGTTGTTATTCTTTCTCTTCCTTCATGACTTTTTCCTGCTAAAAATCTATAATTTTCATATACCATTAAATCTTTATATTCTAATCCATATCTTTCATCTATTCCAAAGAAATATATTTCTGTTGTATTTCCTCCATATAATATTCCCGTAATATAATTCTTTTGATATTCTTTACCAATTGAATACATGATTTTTTCAATCGCACAATGTTTTTCACTTGCTATTTGTATAGAAAATATTAGCTTTGGTGTATTAACTTGATACCCAAACATAAGTCCATCATTCCCTCCTACTATAACTATTATGTCTTTTTCTGTTCTTCCTATAGAAATAAATGTTGGTACAAATTCTTCTAAATAAAAGATATTTGGAAATGGTTTTCTTCCAGACTCTGATACTTCAATATATGGTCTACTATCACTTGCTCCTTTCATATAACTTGGTTTACTTGTAAATGTTGGATATGAAACTTCACAGTATGTAGCTTCTTCATTACTTTCTTCCATTTCTTTAATACTTAATTTCTTTTCAATTCTTCTTCCTATTTTTCCAAAACAACTAATTCGAACTAATTTAATTGAAAATGGTTTTGTAACAACTATAAAATAATAATAATTCTTATCATTTCCTATTTTAACTTCTTTAAAGACTTTATATGCTCCTTCAATATAATAATTAATTACTTCCCCTCCATTATTTTTAATTATTCCAATAGTATTTTCCATTACAATGACAATTCCATTTTCAATCCCCGTGTCAATACTTATTGCTGATATTATTTCACTTTGACACTCAATGCTTATTTTATTGATTTTCGATTCTTTAGAATATATTTCAATCCTTTTCCCTTCTATTCTATAATACATTTCTCCTTCTTTACTGAATCCATTTATTGTTCCACTCGGATACTCTTCTTCAACTCTACTATTTTCAAAATATACTATTGGTTGGTCTCTTAACTCCATATTATTTATTCTTTAATTAAGTTCTTTTTCTAAATACCTTATTCTTCCTATTTTTTATTATTTCTTATTATTTTTTATTATTTCTTTTCTCTTTTTTGTCAACCCTTAAATTTTTTCTTTCTTTTGCTTTTTCTTTTTTTGACTTTCATTTCTTCTCTTTTTTCTTTTTGTCTTTCTTTATCTTCCTCTTTTGATTGTTTCTTTATTTTATCTTCCCTTTCTCTTTCTTTATAATTCTTCTCCCTCATCTCTCTGACTTTCTCTCCTGTTATTGTATTCTTCCTTTTTCTTATTCTTTATCTATACAACCTTAAATTCATTTTGTGTGTTATTGTATTTATTCAATTCTCCCTTGTTTTGGTTTTTCTCTATGGATTATTTTACCAATCATTTCTTTTTGGTTTTGTTTATGTCTTATTCTTACTTGATTTTGTGTCTTCATTCATTTCCTTCATATGTTATTGTTCTTTCCTTTGTTTTCTTCGATTTTTTGATACTCTTTGAATCTCTTTCCTAACACTAATTATGTTTTTCTTTCAACACATAAGTTGTTTGATTGATATGTCCCATTGACTCATGACTATTGGATATTCAGTGTTAGGTTGTCCTAAGTTATTTTGTTTGTTCTTCTTAAAGATGGGAGTTGAGATGTGGTACAAAGACATTAAGAGAGTGTGATAAGTGCTTGAATGAGAAGTGAAAGAGAAGAAATAAAAAACAAAGAAGAAAAAACAAAGAAGAATTAATTATCCTTCTTGGGAGCAGGGGATTTGTTTCCATAAATGAGGATTTGAATAATAATGATGATGTTAACTAAAGCACCAAGAGTGTATGAGATGAGCATAGTAAAATCACCATCCATTTCCTTTAAAGTAGTGAAAATTCTTATGACATTACCAGCAGCAAGTCCAATAGTGGTAATGAGAGACAAAGACCCAGTAGATTTTTCAACAAAATTAGAGTAGATTTGAGGGACTTTAGCGAGAATGAAAAATGGAATTGTTAAAGCTTGTAAAAGTTCTAAAAGAGATAATGGGAATAAACCAAAAAACAACACTAAGAAGAAAGACACAAAAATACAAGCAAGAGTATAAAACATAGAAGTAAATTTGTTTGCATAATAAACAATTAAAAGAATAATAATAATATCTTGAGTAAGTAAGAAGAAATAATCAAAATAAGTACTTAACGGGAAGTTATTTTGATAATGATAATTGAAAGAAATTGCATAGAGAAATGTTTCAATAGTAACAGATTGAAGAGAAACACCATATCCTGTTTTAGCATTATAAATAGATAGAATTTGAGGAACTTTCATGATCATTGAAAAAGTAACAATGACATAACCTAAGAATTTACTTACAAGAAGTGAAACGTCCATTGAAAAATGAAGTTTTAGTGAAGAAAATAATAATAAAACTTATTAATAAAGAAAATAGAAAGATATAATATTAATAGTTTAATTGTTAATTTTTCTGAAAATAAAAGAATCAAA